CCAATTTGAAAAAGACAGATGCACCCCTATGTTTATCACAGCACTATTTACAATAGCCAAGAAATGGAAGCAACCCAAGTGTTCCATCAGTAGATGAATGGATAAAGAAGATGTGGTATACACACACAATGGAATATTATTCAGCCATAAGAAGAAAACAAATCCTACCATTTGCAACAACATGGATGGAGCAGAGGGTATTATGCTCAGTGAAATAAGCCAGGTGGAGAAAGACAAGTACCAAATGATTTCACTCATATGTGGAATATAAGAACAAAGGAAAAACTGAAGGAACAAAACAGCAGCAGAATCACAGAACCCAAGAAAGGACTAACAGTTACCAAAGGGAAAGGGATCAGCGAGGATGGGTGGGAAGGGAGGGAGAAGGAGGGGGAAGAAGAAAGGGGGCCTTATGATTAGCATGTATAATGTGGGGGTGGACATGGGGAGGGCTGTGCAACACAGAAAAGACAAGCAGTGATTTTACAGCATCTTACTACGCTGATGGATAGTGACTAATGGGATATGTGGGGGGGACTTGGTGAAGGGGGGAGTCTAGTAAACATAATGTTCCTCATGTAATTGTAGATTAATGATACCAAAATAAAAATAGAAATAAAAAAATTAAAAAATAAATGACCACTAACTGTTACAACGGCATTTCTGTCCAGCAAATTCTTCTGAGTTAAAGCCACTAATGCAAATACTATCTATCATTTATGCATATCAAACAAATGTTAACTGTACAAATTTTCATGAGCAAAAGTAGTATTTACTAAGCATGTATAAGGAAGAATGGGAAGGCAGTTATTTTCTTCCTGCAGTCTTCTTCTGAAATATAATTTAAAAAATTTTCTTGACACTTGAGAGGATAAGAAAATAATACAATTTTCTTTGTTTTACTATAATGCTCACAGCAGTTTCTGTTTCAATTGCTTGCCTACTTCTCATGTTATGGCATAAGTGAAAAATGCTCGATTCCTCAAAATTCAGCAGCTCTATTTACAACAAAAACTAAAGATATTTACTAAAAGTTAATTCAATTAAATAAACATCTAGATTGTTAAAAACAACTGCTTTTAATTTTAATATGCTAAGAAAATAAAAAAATCACAAAAAAGTTTAATCATACCAATAAGCAAAGAAATTCAAATTGAAACAGGACTCCCTGTTTTTTCCACTAAATCGGCAAGATAATGATAACAGTGTTGGCAAGAGGACAATGACCCATGTGCTTCTATACAACACAGAGGAACTGTGGAAGTAGACCATTCTGGAGAACAACTGGACAGTAAGTACCCAAAGCCTTAAAAAGCATTCCCTATTTCTGTGACTTATTATTTCCCCTTCTAGTAATTTATCTGAAGGAAGAAATTAAGTAAGATGTATATAAGGATGTTCACAGAAGAGCTATGTCAAATATCAAAACCTAGAAATTTAAGTAAGAGATTTAATAGTAGTCTGTTTCATTAAAAAAAAGAAGTGTTGGTCACAATCTACTAAACCAATGGCTAAGTCAATGGCTGTGAGATGCACTCCTTTGTATTAGGCTCTACCCGCAGTCAGATTTCTTGATGATGAAGTGAATCTGATTTGATTCACAAAGGCAGAGAAGTTATTCCAGGTAATAGAAATGGCAGGCCTAAAGGTGTGGAAATAAGTAACAAACAAACTGAAAAATCCTAGGTGTTGAGGGAGACACAAACCGATTATTTTGGCTGAGAGGGAGCACTCATTTCATTGGGGTGTGGGGCGTAAGGCAACATCAGAAAGAAAGTCTCCTGCCAAACCATACAGAATTCTTAAGTTAAAGGACACTCAGTACAATAGGAAGAGTCAGAACTTTTGCAGGTCATTTGATAAATATGTTTTAGTAAGATTAATTTAAGTCTCTGAAGCATAAACCAGAGAGAAAAAAGTAAGATAGTTATTTTCAGTAGTTTAGGAATAACGTATTGGTTTCAACTAGCATGGCAATAGTAAAAAAAGAAAAAAATTAATAGAACTTGATCATGGCCAAGGTGTCTGACTTGGACTAAGAGGAAGAGAGTACAGTGTTAACAAAGAAATGTTAGGAGAGTTCTTTCCATTGCAATGGCTTCTTTCCCTCCGCTTTAAGTATGACATTTTCTTGGCAGAAAAGAACACAAAATTCCCTTAACTGACTCTGCTGCCAACTCTCTTTAACTTCCAACACAGAAGAAATCTCAAATGAATGGTCCTATACTTGGACCTATTTTGAATCCTTCTTTCCCCTTTCTTCTATCAACCACATCCCTCAAAGCGCTGTTTACACCTAATTCTCCTAATGTTATCTAGAACATCTCCTTTTCAGTAGCTCCCTTTTTATGGTATTATAACACCGAGCACTACTTGTGGCTCTCCTCCTAAGTCGGTTGGTCAACACTCTCCTTTTCACCATTTTATTTCCTTCTTAGCCTCCCTCTGGACTGTGTTCTCTCTCTGTCCTCTCCCCGGGAGAAAAAACACCTACTCTCTCTGCTAGGATTATGTCTTCTGCACAAGTAATTCTGTGCCCAAATTCTAGTCCGGCATCTGTTTCTTCCTTCCATAGCATAATCTAATCTGTTACACAGTGACACATAAAAAGCTTAAACTAATCTAAATTCTCATACTGCTCAAATGCAAATTAATTGAAATGTCAATATAAATTGGTTATACAGCTATGAAGCATTTTTTTCCAGCCTCAAGCAGATGAGGAACAATGGCTCCAATCACAAACATTAGTTTCTTTTAAAAACAGCAAAGGAAGTATATAAAGATTGCCATATTTTTTCAGAGTTACTTACTCTTGGGTAAGGAAGGCCACTGGTAGTATTGAAAGCTGGTAAAAGTTTGTAACCCAATTGCTTTGCCATTTGGAGAAGTTCATCATTGTACCACTGCATGTACTCGCCTTTTTCTTTCAGCATGATTGCCAATGAGTGTCCACCCAAAAGACCCCTATAATCACAAAGATGGACATTACCCACACCTTACAGATAGAAACACAGAAGAACTTAATTTTTTACCTAACTTTGGCTACTCATTTTATGGCAAACTATTATAATTACACAGCCAGTACAAAAAAAATTCAGATGTTCTATCTGTTGTAAAGTGTTTAGTATTCTTAAATACTTTAAGTTTTCTTAAATAAAGAACATCCTAGAAATCACTTAACAAATTTGACTTGATTTGAATAAATCTTGAATTTAACTGACTTAATTATATCATGAAATCTTTCTCTTAGCATAACATTTAAAAAATGTTTAAAAACTCTATATTAAATGTAACATTAGTAAACTGTGAAAAGCTGCATAATGATTTAAATTTAACTGAAGAACAGATTCACTTTGACAAAAGGAAATGACTTACAATAACATGAAAGTAACCAATAAATATAAAAATTTAATGATGTTGAAACTTCAATTAATAAATCCTGTAATTCCTTCTTTTTAAACATTTCAAGAGCATTTCAAACTAGTTGAGAGATAATCCTATATGTTTACTTCCATTTGGCTTGAAGAGGTGTTGGCTAAGGTTAGCAAACTATGTAAGCTAATGAAAAACCTGTGATGTAGCTAATGTGCCAATGTTTAACCTACTTTTTATTTATTTTATCAAAGTATCATTAACATACAATCTCATGATGGTTTCAAATGCGTAAAACAGTGGTTCAACATTCACCCATATTGTCAAGTCCTTACCCCTCCACTGCGGTCGCTGTCTATCAAGGTAGTAAGATGTTAGAGTCATTAATTGCATTCCTCATGCTGTACTACTGTCCTCATGACCTACCTATAGTGTGACTACAAATTATTGTGTCCCTTAATCCCCTTTACCCTCCCTCGCCTTTGGTAACCACTAGTCCCTTCTCAGTGTCTCGAGTCTACTACTAGTTTGTTCCTTCTGTTTTGCTGTTTTTATACTCCACAAATGAGTGAAGTCATTTGGTTATTTGTCTTTCTGTGCCTGTCTTATTTCACTGAGCATCATACCCTCTAGATCCATCCATGTTATTGCAAATGGCAGGATTCTTTTCTTTTTATGGCTGAATAATATTCCATTGTGTGTATGTACATTTTCTTTATCCACTCATCTACTGATGGACACTTAGGCAGATGTGCAACCTACTTTTTAACACAACCTAAAAGGAATACCCTTGATTTTACTTTGCAACTATTTCCAAAGCTTGCTGCTATCTGTACTGGATATAATAATGAAAGATCATCCCACAGCCTCTGTGATTCATAATATCTTAATTTTTATCCTTTAAACATATGAAATTTCTTCATCTTTTAAACATAATAAATTTTCTGTTATTAAAATTATAGTTTCAGTTTCTTATTTACTTACCCAAGAACTCTGATGTTTGTTTCAAAGACTGATACAACTACATCATTATCTAAATTAACATCTCTTAAAACTTTTCTCACTGCATCTTCAAATTCTTTAGTTTTATTTAATACCTAGAAGAAGAAATTATGAAAATAAAGTTCTTTTCTACCAAGTCAAGGAGAAATAACCTCAGAATGAGCTACTAAAAATGACATGTAAAATATTTCCCTTAAGCACATTATAAAAATGTGTTAATATTGAAAACTGAAAAAAATTAAACATCTAATTATATTATAAGGAATCTTTATATACTTCTTCTTTAGACACACTGAAATACCATTAGTACTTTAAAACAAATCAGCATCAGAATTTTTAACCAGTTTCTTAATATATAACCTGTGACCTAGAGTTACATAAGGTGAGCTGTATTGGGATTTGGCATGCAAGTCAACACACATACACACATAAATATCCTATTCAACAAACACCATTTTAAAGGTTGCTTACTCTCAGAGGAAACACATCCTTCAGGGGATGACTGACCCAAACCACATACCACCTGCCATCTTCACCCAGTAGATGCCCGAGCCCCTAACTAAGGAGACAGTACAATGTTGCAGTCAAGAGCAAGCCCTGATTTGAATTTTGGTTTTTTCATTCACTACCTGTGTAGTCTCAGCTGTTATTTCCACCTTTCAGCATGTTACTTCATCTACAAAAAGAGCAAATATCTACTTTCACAGAATTGTTTTCTTACATAAGGTAAAGTGCCTGACTAAATAAGAACTTAATAATAATAATAATATTATTATTATTATTACTATGCATGTCTAGAATCCTAAGTTAGTAACACTGGATTCTTGCTATGAGCTCCATGAAAGGGTCATTACATAGGTTGATTTCATTTTTCAGTCTAAATTAAGGCCACACTATTAGATGTTATTTTAGATCCAGGTCCATTAAAAGTAGTTTTCCTTTAGTACACTGTTCAATCTTTCTGTTTGACAACATGTTGTAGTGCTTTTACAGTTTATTTGATACTTGCACTAAAAATTCTAATGCAGATATAAAACATTCCTGACTAAAATTCAAGTCAAATTTAGGGCAAGTCCTGAGTAAAATATAATATGAAGTCTGATTTTAAGTAAGTTGACTGCTTTCCTTCCTCAATCTCAAAGTCCATGTAAATTCTGCAGCAACAAATGCAGATACTTCCAGCCTTCTATTACTTTTGGAATGAGACACAACTGTCCTATTCCGCACTCACACACACATATCCTTTTTAATGTCATTTTGTTAATCTTCTTCTTCCTAGGTCTATATCCTGAGAATTACTCCCAAGAATTATATCAATGCTATTTGTTTAAAAAAAAGAATAAAAGTAGGAAAGAGTTCTCTTTGTTGATAATTAGCTAGAAAATTCATTCTAACAGTTTCATTAGATAAGAAGTTTCTAAAGCTCCTAGCTTATAACAAAGGATTAATTCAGCTCTCTTCCTTTCCCCCAATTATCTTTTATTTGTTTCAGTATCTTGCTTTCTATAGATTCATAGTAATGTGGAATTTAAAGGTAAATTTAAAGTTTCTATGCTTGACTTCACCACAATCAATAGAAATTAGATGTCTAGGATTAGGAATAGGAGTTTAAATTTAAAGATCAAATATAACAACAGAAATTCTAGCTAATATATATTGTGGTAAGGCCACAATAAAAACAGTAGGATTGTGTGTATTATCACAAGTAATATATTCTGTTAATATTTTCATATAAATTAATCACAAATGAAAAAATAATCCCAAAGGAGAGGCAAAGTAAATTAGAAATATCAATATTTATATTGGTAAAATGTACAAGATAGCATTCCTTTTAAATATAGGAAAAAGCTTTCAAACTACTTTCACTTCTTTTAACTCCTCTGTTTAAATATTTTTTAATGTTTAGAGAGAAATTCAAAACAAACTTGTACATTTCAAAATTATTATGATATGTAATAGATTAGGTTATTTCCACTTGAAAAGACCGAAATTTAAAGAGTTTATGAAGTATAATTTTTTTAATGTTTAGAAGACTTATCAATCTTTCTTCCTGACTCTTCTTGAGGATACCTTCAACAAACAGAGGTTACAAACCTGAATCTGAATGAAAGATCACTAGAAATAGTATCTTATGGTTAATAGGGACCTTAAGTATCTAGTCAAGACCCTTCTGAAATGAAAACAGGAGCCCAGAGAAGTTAAGTAATTTGGCCAAGGTCATGCACAGTATTGTGTGATCCCTCCTTGTGACTCCCTGCCACAAGGAGCCAGAACTCAGTTTACACCAGACGTTATGGAAAGGCCGTCTGCGGACCAGCAGCAGTACACTACCACATGGTAGCTTATTAGGAACACAGATTCCTGGGCCCACCTTGTCTTCAGAATCAGAATCTGCGTACTAACAACATCCGAGATGACCTATAGTACATTAAAATTTAAACAGTTCTGCATCAGTGTACAGTGATTCTCAAACTTTAGTATACATCAGAATCATCTGGTCACTTGTTAAAAAAATAAACTGCTGGGCTTTACTCCCAAACTTTCTGATTTAGTATGTCTGGGATGAGACTCCAGAATTTTTATTCCTAACAAGTTGCCAGGTGATAGATACTGAAGCTGCTCCTTCTGGGATCATACGTTGAGAATCAATGGCAAAGTATATAATTCGTATAACTTCAATGATATAAACTTTACAATAATTAATGGCTGTGCAAGTAGAATCTAATACATTTCTATAGGACAGTTATGAAGCCTATGATCACCTTTTACTCCTTCATTTCTAGCAAAATTTTTAAAAACATAAATGATATCTGAGGTCCATGTTCAAGAAAATCAACAAAGAGCTTATAGCGAGATGATGGGGAACCTGCTACATGGAAGGAGAGAGCTAAGATAACAGAATGGGAAAGTTCATCTAGTCTTTCCAAACCCACAGTTGCTGTTCCTCATCAGCTACAGTTACAAATAAATAATAACACTTTTCTCCCAAGATGGGAATCTGTGGCTCCCAGGACACTTTACCTTTTTCTTGTATAATTGAGAAAGGCCTACTATAGCAGAACCAACCTAGGACCACTCAATCAAAACTATGGCATACAATATTCTCTCTCATTCTCATAGTCATTGTAATGGAGCTCACACTTTCCTTTAATCTTTGAAAAATGAAGTCACAACTTTTGAAACCCTGACTCAGCTAAAAGGTCTGAACAACTATGGTCTCCTCAACAAAAAGGTCTTCTCAACCATGGCTGCATTTTATAAACAAAGAGAAGCTTTTGAGGAATAAATAATAATGCCCAGCCTCACTCCAGAATGATTAAGTCTGAAAAACTTGCGAGAGGGGAAATTTTTTTAAATTTCACAGACAATCCTCTTAAAATGCTGGTGTAGTTGAGAATCTCTGGACATCTGTAACTCAGTCTTTCCCCTCTGTCATCACAAACTGACCTAAACCAGAATTAATTACAGTGATCTTGCATCCTGTGAGGTTGAAAAGGAATATCAAGAAGTGATATGATCACTTGCTGCTAAAATCACTGCTGGGAAAAATTATTTTTTTAAGCGAATATAACATAAATTATACTAATTAAAAAATTTCATAATCATTGCGGCATGCCATTCTGGAACAAGAATATCAATGGTATTTTCTAGAACTACTCTCTTCCAACAGATTTAACCTCTTTGTCCAAAAGCAAACAACTTTCCTAATTAAAGTGCCATTGCATAAGTTGACATATCTATAAATTGTGTATCTCCATGATTACATCACATAGTTTGTCATGACATTTTTCAACTCAATAATGTGAAAGATTTAGAAGCAAAGATCAGAGCATCTTAAATTCTGAAGCATATAATGATATATTCATAATACTTGCGTATGCATGTTATAAAATATATAAAATAAGTAAATTCAAGAAGAATCAAACCTACCACAAGAGTGTCCAAGGAATCAATCAGTGTCAAGGAAAATCTAAGGAACAAGTATAACAAGACAAAGAACATTAGAATTATCAGTATTTTATACATGAATATGTAAATAGATATATTTGGGTCCTACTGACTGGAGTTTCTATCAAGTAGTATTTCCATGCATCTGTTGTACAATGTGACCTAGAAGTAGTGAGGGAGCCTGAAAAGCCTTATTATTATATTTATATTTATGTTCAGCATGTCTACATCTTTCATAAACAGCAATAGTCTTTAGCTCTTTTTAAAGCAAATATATATATATATATATTCAGGCATCCTCCTTCATGGATGAAAAAGTGGCTGTAAGAAAAGTAACTAAGAACTTCTTTTCTGCCTTATAAGATCACAAAGTTGAAATGCTGTGTTTACTGTTCACATATACCTACTTTTGGTGATAAGTGTAGGCATGCTTTAAGAAGGTAGGAAAGTTTTACTTTTCATATGCCAAATTTAAATTCTAAACTTACTCGGATTAAAGAATTCAGTAGACAGTTACATAGGGGCATGTTATTCAGTGTTACCTCCTCTAGTACAAAGAATTCCTAGAATTCTGATTTGCTCATGTGTGAGCTATTTTATTGGACTATCCCACTCTAGTGTAAAGCAGCATGGATTTAGTGCAAAGACCTTCAAACTTGTTTTAACATGTGCTTTCTTTTGAGAATCAAAATGTGCATCCTCTAGTATTCTTTGAAATTTTAAAATATACCAACTGTCACAGCTAAAAAAAAAAAAAATTCAAGCATCAACACCTTATAATGTGTCAATCACTTATCTACATTCTAAAAGTTGCATAATCTTAACAACTCAACTTTTCACTGGTCTAAGGTAAAATGATTAATTTTTTACAAGAGATAAAAGAAGGGACTAAAGGAACTTAATGTTGTAATTAAAGCAGTCTTTGAAATTAAACCAAGCTCCAGAAATAAAATTGTAAAGTGCCTCTAACAAGTCTGAGACTTGAGATGCCATGCCATCCATTGGGTGAACACTTACTTTCCCAAGGCATCATCAACATCTCCCCGACTTGGTTCCTGGCCTCTAACGCGACCTCTGCAGGTTAAAGGCATGAGTTCATCAGCGGGGTAAGCATGTTCCTGAAAGGAAGATCTTAGTGAGTCACTAAGGAAAATAAGAGAAAGCACATATCATTTAGAGAACACAACCTTTCCAGTTATTAAAAAAAGTAAAATAAAGGTTAGATGAAGTTTCTACTATCCTTATGGTCCATGGAATCTATAAAAGAAACTTTAGTTATAAATGTAATACATGCCTGAAAAAAACCATACCAGAAAATATTTCTTAAAAAATCTGATAATCTGCTTCCTCTCCACCCAATCTACTCCCCAGAGGTGGCTGTTAATTTTAAGACTGGCATCTATCCTTCCAGACTTATCTACATACATTAAAATGACATGCATATACATCATTTAAAAATTTTACTTACAAGCAGGTGCTCATGTCACATGCACACATTGCTCTAAAATTTGTTTACTTAAATCATGGGGTTTTTCAATGCTAGAGTTTGACAGATGTATTTTCTTTTTAAGAAGTGATAATATTAGATAATTTCATCAAGTATTTATGTTCTAAGCACTGCTGTGTACACTTTAGTTCATTTAGTTAACACAAACCTCTGAATCAGACTCAATTACAGGCATATCTCAGAGATACTGCAGGTTGGTTTCAGACCAGTACAATAAGTTGAATATTACAATAAGGCAAGTCAAATGAATCTTTTTTTCCCCAGTATGTAAAGTTTTGTTCATACTATACTGTAGCCCATTAAGGGTACAATAGCATTGTCTAAAAACACAATGTATGTGTCTTAATTAAAACATACCTTTTTGCAAAAAAAATGCTGTCATTTGAGCTTTCAGTGAGTCTTAATCACTGATCACAGATCACCATAATATAGGAATAATGAAAAAGTTTAACACATTGCAAGAATTACCAAAATGCAGCACAGAGACATCAAGTGAGCAAATGCTTCTGGAAAAATGGCACCAACAGACTTATTGCAGGGTTGCCACAAGCCTTCAATTTGTGAAAACCACAGTATCTGTGAAGTACAATAACATGAAGCACAGTGAAACGAGGCAGGCCTGTATCTCCATTTTATAGATGAGAAAACTGAGGCCCAGAGACACTAAGCAAGCCTATGTCATGCAGCCAGTAAATGATGGATCTAGAATCCAAACCTGGCAAACTAACTTCAGAGCCTAAACCCTTCATAGTACTTGGTCCTCACAGTATCCCGAAGGATGGATATGCTAAAATGTATTCATTCCTCTACTGATGAACATGTAGGTTGAACTCAATTTTTCACTGTATAAGCAAAGCTATGGGGAAACACCTATATGCATGTAACTTTCATACATGTGCTTCTATGTCTATAGACTACAACCCTAGAAACCAGATCCAATGGGTCAAAATTTGGATATTTAATTTTTGATAGCTACTATCAAACTGAACATACCAATTTATACTCTTATAATACTCTAAGTAGGACATAATCAATGGTGTACATTTTGCTAATCTTTTGGATAAAAAATGGTATCTCAAGTTTCACTATTAATGTGGCTAAACCTCTTTTTGTATTGGCCACTGCTATTTCTTTTTTGCAATGTCTGTTCATACCTTTTGTCCATTTTCTATTGGTTGACTTAATGGCCAAGAGATCCCCTATAAGTTGTTTGTTATATACAATAAATACTTTTCTGTCTTTTGTTTGGTTTTCAACTTCGTTTATAGTGCTTTTTAACTTCAAGCTTTAACTACATAGTTAAAACTATCAGTCTGTGGTCTCTAAATTTCAGCCATGGTTAATTAGATTATTTCGAGCATCTGAAAACAGTACTCTTATAATTTTATCTTTTTATGTCTAGATATTCTATCTGGAATCTAATTTTGTTTATGGTGTGAGATAAGGATGTAACTGTGTTTATTCCCCTAAATAGCCAATTTTCTAAAAAACGTTTTTTAAACTCCATCTTTTCCCTGCTTGAAACACAGCTTTATTCAAAGCAGGTATAGTTCCATATTCTCTACACCCACACACACATTTCTGTAGCCTCTATTTTGTTCTACAGACCTATCTGCTCCACAGACCTATTTCCTACTTCTACCACCCTACAAGTCCATTTGTTCTACAGACCTGTTTCCTGCTCCAAAATCATTAATTATCCTATCTTTGCAACATGCTTTGCTTCTTGGCAGAGCAATTCACTCTCCCCCATTATTTTGCTTCAAATTTTCTTAACTTCTTTCTCTAATTTACTCTTTTGGATAACTTTAGCATTTCCTTAAAATTCCACTGAAATTTTAATTGGAAGAGCCTAATTTGGGAAGAATTATTATCTTTACCAATTGAGCCTCCCCATCTAGGAATATATCACTATTTTAATTCAGATTTTCTTTTATGAATTCAGTTTCCTACTACAAGTCTCACATTTTTCTTAATATTTATTAATAGGTGTTTTATACTTTGGGATAGTGTTATGAGTGGAGTTTTCTCTTTAAAGAATGACAATGATAGAGTATTTCTAGCTCAGATAATAATGAGGCACATTAAAGGATATTCCCTCCTATTCACTACAAAAACACTGAAATGCTGTATAAATTTTTAAAAAAATTATTTTTAATACATAGCTGAGCTTGAAAATAAGAAATTTTCAAGTGCCAAAAGTGAATAGCATACTGTAGAAAATGAAGCTGCACTGCACAGCATGGGCACCAGGAATAAAGACAGGCTTTAGTGGGAATTATGTTACTACCCCAAGGGTATGAGAGTTGATGCTGTTGGCCCTACATATATGGCCACAAGCCAGAGGACTAGGTGAAGTTGGGTAGTTGTTTCAGTGAAAATGGACTAGAACATGTCTTTCACTGGATATGGGTCTTAATAGAAAGGGAGAAAAACAAGGAAGACCTACCAAACTTTACATTTTCTTCACAAGGGAAGAGTCCCTAAAAGACTCCTCTATAATTAGTAAAATATGATTATGAGAAACATTTAGAGGTTAGAATCACTGTTTACATATTTCAATTTTAGACAATATATATTGTCTGCCAAGAATAACAGGATTAATATACTCATTTCCCTGCCAATAATAACAGGATAAATATACTCATATTTTGGCCCATTTAACTAAGGGGGTTTTTGGTCAATTATGTTATTATAGGCAGTCTTCACTTTGCATAGCTCTGTTTCCACAGTTTCATTAAAAAAAAACCACAGTGACATGGTTCAAATTTCAGTTACCATTGTATATTAGCTGCAAGTAACTGCATAAAATACAAACTTTGGTATTAGTCCTTCATTCCTCAGATCACTACATAAACAGACGCTCATCATGATCAGCAGTCACATCACTTCTTTCAAAGTCTGTCAGTTATTGGTCACAGAGTGTCTATTTCTTAGCTCACACACAGACAGCATTTGGTTGTGTTGCCTCCTTGTCACTCAGTGATAATCCTACAAGACAGTTTGACATTTTATAAAAATGAATAATCAAAAGAGGAAATTAGTCAACAAGGATGAAAGTTCAGCAAAAACAAAAGTGATCACCACTTCTGAAAGTGAAATTTGAATTGAACATAAATGAAGCTATAGAAGAAATAGCGGATAATGGAATACTGAGACTGGTGCCACTTGAGAGACTCCAGATATGCAGCCAGAGGAACTTAGTGAATATCAAATTATCTACACAGATACAGAAAGTGGCTGTCACATAAAGGATGAAGATGTCCCAGAGGAAATGATGCCTGCACAAAACTTCCCATTAAAGGAATTCTCAGAAAATACTATACACAGAGTGCAAAGGATAAAATATTTCAAGCTGATGCAAACTTTGAAAGGAGTGGAACAACTCACCAAAGTATAGAAAAGGTACATGCTCATCTCTTAACTTATACAATGAGATAAAAGCAAGCAAAGCAAGCACTGTTCACATTTCTATTAATGAGATTTTGCAGAGAAAGAACACTGTAATTTTCAAAAATCTCTAATATTTTGAATTATAATATACTAAGTATCTTTGCTATTTTAAAAAATTTATCTGTCCATTTACAACTATCAGAAGCATAATATTTACTGTTTTGACAAAGATTTTAAAACATTCATGGCATTTGTATTCTGGCCTGGAACCATTAATTATCGTAGTTGCTGGTGTTAGAATCTACTTAGGTGAAGTCAGTGCACACAATTTTTCTAAAGCTTTTCCATTCTTGAGTTTTTATTTTGATTTATCTCTTGGTTGCCTGGACAAAGTCTTCAAGTAATTTTTTGTTTTTTTTTTAAGAGTATCATCAGTATTGTTACTTCTCTGGTATTCTTGGGTTAGTCTGCGTCTTGCCTTACATTTGAAAAACAATCTGAATGGTTATACAATGCTTCAAACGTATTTTCTTTTCTTCAGAAATTTGAAAATATGGTTCCACTCTTCTTGCCTTCATTAAGTATTGCTAAGACAAAGTTTCTAAGTCTAATCTGGAATTCCATACTTTAAATATGACTTGCTCTTCCTATACTTGTATGATTCTTAATTCTTGAAGTTCGGCAAAACACTTCCCAATTCCACACGTAACTCCATCCTACCACCTCTCACTAAACTCAGTTATCTAGACTCCAAACTCACAGCACATTAGCAGCAGAAAAACAGAGGCCAGGAACACTGAACGCATAGTCAACAAAAAGGGAAAGATCAAAAAAAAATTAAAATTAAAGTTGGCTAAAGAATACAAAAAGCGATGAATATTGCAACTGTTAGGTATTTTTAAAAGTTCAGGGCTCTATAATGATTCACTCATTTCCTGAGGAAAGGACTCCAGGCAACAAATGTTTTGATATAATTAGAATCCACATGCAGCTGCTAAATTCAGAATTCAATACTTTCTAGTACTTATATTATAAATAATTTTTAGTTTAAACTCCTAGTAACATTTACATGTCAAGTTCTGACTTTTTCAGTGTTAATTCCAATTCCAGAATGTACATTACTTTTATTGCTTCATAGTTTCATATTTAAAACATATGAACATTTAGGAGTAACTCAAGAAAAGTGTGATTTTTTTTCAAAACTTGCTGAAAGAGGTA